TGCAAAGCCTATGCAATAGCATTGCACCTGAAGTATAACACTAAAACAAATAGTGAAAACCCAAAAATCCGTGTCTTGAGAGTGTTTGTAGCATGGAGTCTTCAAAGACCTGTTGAGTCAAGCCAAAGGGGGAGAATCGAGAAGATGGTGCGACAAAGGAAGACAACACATCTGTTCGTGCGAGGTTGAGCCAGTTTCCTGTTGTTCGGTCTGATCTGACCCTTCACCTAAAAAAAGGAAAAAAAATATAGAATGTCATCATCGGGCACGGTTTCCCTCTCTAGCTGTCCGGTGATTCTTGATGGTGGTGCACCTTCCATCGGTGTTGTGTGCTCATCCACTAGTTCCTCTTTTCCGCTGCTCCTCGTCGTCATCTCACCTGCACGGCCTCCTCCGCAGCCTCTCTTGCAAACATGATGGCTCATGCATCATTGTCTGTTGTGTTCTTCCTAGCTTCTAGCTTTCTATTTTCCTCTGCGTCCACCAAGTCCTTTACTCTTCTGTGTTTCTCATGCCATGCGGGTCCACCAAACCATTCTATGGCAGCTTTCTTCTGTGGTCCTAGTCCTTTCTATACAACTTTTGTGGCCTTTCTTGTCCTTGTTGTCTTCTATAGGGATTTCATGGCCTCCTTCTGCATTGTCGTCGATCTATGTCCATTTTCTTTCTGCCGAGCTTCTTGCACAATGATTCATCCTCTTGATGCGTCATCTTCTTTTGACAACCCATCTTCTCTTGATACTTAAGTTGTATCTTCGCTTATGTTGCCACACACGATGAAGATGGTCGCCAGAGAGAGAGCCGCTGGTGGTGAGTCGCGAATCCTAGAAGGGGGCACAAATCGAGCTCCCCGGCGAGGCGGAAATGCGGGCGACAATGATGGCCTAGGCAGGAGATGCACTAGAGGATGACGGTGCTCAAGAAGATCAACCTGGATGCACCGAGTGCAGCGGGGTGACGGGGACTCTGGCGGCATGGGAGGCCCCTGGTAGCAGTTGCCGGTCAATCTTGGAGACAATAGCCGAGGCGCCACGGCATGGAAGACAGTGGCGGTGGCATCCTGGTTGAAGACGGATGCGGCGTCCTTGGAGCAAGGCGAGTTGGTTTGCACAAAGGTGAGCAAGGGTGAGTGGAGACGTGCAGATGACGGGCGGGCGGTGGAGCGCCGTGAGCAGCAAGATGGTGGCCAGCCTGGGGGTCGACGGGGAACAACATCACCACTGGCGGTCGATGTAGGAGACGGAGAGTGGTGGACATCGTGGGAGCGAGTGCTTTGATCAGGAAGATTGGCTTGATGTAGGGTGCTGGTGAGTTACTAGATGATAGATATCCGGTGATGCTCGATTGTTGAGGCAGCGAACAGGAACGAGGAAGATGAATGGCCAGGGCGGATCCAATCAGCGAATAAGACAAGCATGATCCTGGTCATGAGCTTTCGATCGTAGCTTCGATCTAGATGGGATTGGGACAAGAGCTTCGAGCGGAAGATAGGGAATCAATCTAGACAAGACGAGACCGAAAAAAAAAGAAAGAAAAACGAGTGGGATGGCGAGTTGCGGCGTCCAGAAAACTCTCTAAACCTGGGCTTATGATACCATTTTAAATGAGTAACTTAGATTTATTGCACTGCCCAAGGGGTGAATATTACAAGGGACTTGGAGCACAAGGACATTTAAACTAATACGAATACGCAAGGCCCTAGACCTATAATAGTAATAATAATACTCCTTAACAGGGGTCAGGGATAGGTTTGGATAGATGTATATATAGGGCAATGGCCCACGTAGATGTCAGTTCAAACATATGTTATTTGCAAACTTAAGCTGAAAGTTTCAAACATTTATTATACCTATATGTAGCATCTTTTCCTGTTAATGTATTGCTCGATTTTTCTATGGAGGCTCAATTGATTCTATTTAACACTGCTAGCTATCTTTATCACCGTCTTTTCTGCCTACGTAGCACTGTAGCATTTTAGCAGTTATTCGTCGAATTACTAGTGATTTATGGCTAATTCTTTAATTTATTGACAAACAGGTTGCTCGAGCAGAGGCTGAACATGCCATGCAACTCAGACAACGTCTTGGTGGTGCTCCTGTTACAAATGGTCCAGGATCTAGTTCTGGTCCACCCATGATTACATTTCCATCAGGGCAAACAACTGCTGTGATGCAGAATTCAGAAGCAAGTCCAATATCTCCTCAGTTTCAGCTGGTGCATCCAGCAACCTCACCTCCCACCATGACCAGTGCTATGGGTGATGAACCCAAGATAACAGCAGCAGCTATGGCAGATAAGCTTGCATCTTTGTCATCTGGCCAGCAAGTGCTGTCCTCCATTTTCTCATCCCTTGCCGCTGAACAAGCTGCTTCCATAAATGGTGGTTCGTCTTCTGGAGAACTCTCTGCAGGGCCTCCCGGCTTTGACAGACCAAAGAGGCCTAGACTTGAGCAGCAGGCTGGTGATACAGGGGCTCCCCCTTTCTTTGCCCAAGTACCACAAGTGCAACAACAGATTGGAGCAGCACCTACTTCTCTTGGAAGCACACAGTCACCAGCACAGGCTAACCAAGTACCAGGTTCATTTGCACCGTCTCCATTACAACCAATGGTACCGCAACTTATGCAGCAGTTTAGTCAAAATACTGGAGGTCCTGGAGGAATGTTCGGAATGATACCCTTTGGGATGATGGCTGGCTCTATGCCACCTCCACTTCCATTGTTGCCGGCAGGTTTTGCAATGCCAAATGAACCACCTCCTCCACCTCCTCTGCCACCCATTCAGCAGCAGCAGCAGTCTCCACAGGCACCACAGCAATCTCCAACATCAACTGGATTCTTCCCAACTTCAAGCACTGGGTTCTTCCCTCCAGTTCAGGTGCAGCAATCTCCATCCGTCCAACGGCAATGATGTTATATTACAAATGTCGGGGCATAAAGGCAGCACCTTGTGCTATCTTTGTACATTAACAATAATCCCCGAGTATTATCCGGTTAGGTTACAGGTCCTGTAGGAGAAACAGGATCACTGCCTACGAAAATAGGCGTACGGCTTGTGTGATGTATAACTGTTCCTTTTGGTCTGAGAAGTTTGCTCGATACTTCTTGACCATATGAAGTAGTTAGACTTTTCTTTGCATAGCACGTTAATTAGCTCAGAGACAAACAAATGGGTGATACTATTGCTTAAATTGTTGTTGCCCAATGATATTAACATTTTAGGGCTCAGTCGTAGAACTTACCGGTAGATGGGATCTGAACTGTAACTATTTTTCATATACTCATATTGCTCTTCACGTTTATTTATTATTATTTTATAATGTTTGTGCTGCAACTTTCCCCCCTTCGTTCATTTGATTACTTGTGACTCGTGTTGCTGCTAGTTTGATTTAACTGTGGTGAAGATTACACGCGATTCATTGTGTCAATGAAGTGGGGGCTTGCCGGAAATCTAGTGGGATACATGGAAGGAATTAGGATTTGAGGTTGCACAGGTCAGGTGAACTGAAATTTCCTGTGATGGTTGTGGTAAAACTTCCAAAAATAGTCAATTGACATGGACAGATGATCTATCCGGGTTCACATCAGCACTGGAGCAAACTGTCTCCTCTCAAAAATTGATACACACTAATTATTTCCTGGCACTAGATTACACATGCCCTAAGATAGGTTAGTCTTGAATAATCTCTACAAGTGAGAGTGTTATCTGCAAAAGATATTACATGCTACAGCTACAGCTGATCAAAGAGAGAAGTAAGGAAGGAAGGAGATTCAGTTCCCCAGACTAATTATGATTTTTGTTTGAGCCGCTCTTGGGAAATTTCCTCATGCTGGCGTCGAACCCCACCTCCACCGGCTTGCCGTTCGCCGCCGCCGGAAGAGTACCGCCGTTGACGTGGAACTCGTTGGTCTCCGTGCCGCCCACGGCCGTGGTGGGCCTGGGTTGTGCGGCCAGCAACAACCTCCTTGCCGCAGGACCGCGGCGACCCTGCTGCCACAGCCACGGCGATGCTGTTGCGTCGAGAGACACGGCGGCTGCTGTCGACGGCGTGAGCAAGAGGAGATGGAGCAGGAGCATGGAGGCGAGGAGGCAGGAGACGACGGCGACGATACTCCGGCGGCAGCCTGCAGCCTGCAGCTTAGTCGTCATGGCACTTGATCGAACCGTAAGGTTGGAGACTTGGAATGTGGTGGGAGTTGAAGAGTTGGAGGCTTGGAGCTGCTGTGTTGTCTTCTACGGCGCGCGTATATAATGCGTGTGGAGACCAGCAGCATGCGTTGCTCAAGTGCACGCAGCTTCCACTGGTGGATGGGAGGGAGTACGTGGGAACATGGAGTGAACATGTGACGCCACGTCTTATACTAGTCGGGGATGGAGCAAAAGGGAGTCACGGAGCATATGGGGCGAGCTGTGGGAACATGTCACCCCGAGATCTGGATCCATTTCTCCCGTTCCAGCCAGCCGATTCATTCATACTATTACTACCAATTCCGTAGAAACTAACACTAGCGTTACATAGAATATATGTGCAGCGCCCCGGTTTTCCAGTACGTTGCCACTTTACAATTTACATGCATCGAGTTTACACTGGCGAACATCACGGGAGGGCGTTGTTCGTTCGGGCTTGGCGGCTGACCATGTGAGGCCATCTTTGACTAATATCCACCGCCGTCCGGCCAAAATACCTGCAATCTTCCTCTTCTTCTGAGCTGATCTTTTTGACTGGTTTCATGTGATCAGATGGAACATTCATCATCCATTTTCTATGGCACGCAGAGCATAATATCAAACACAGTGTGACAATGCATCCTGCAGATTCAGATCGACTGGGGTAGCTAGCAAAGTGCTTATATAAGTATAGGTGTGGTAGATCGTGGAGGGGTACGGCCAACCGGTTAGTTACAAACGTATCATACACGGATGCACTGTTCCTTGCATCTGTAACCGCAGCAGCTGTATGGTCTGGACTCATCAAACTATTATTATCTCAAGAAACACTTTTTCTTTTTTTTTCAAAATATCTCAAGAAACAATGGAAAAGACATAGTGTACTGATCAAGTTTGGAAAGTTAATTCATCTCAGACATGGTGCTACAGTTAATCTACTTCTATATATGTTAATTGAACTACTAGTTAATTGAAAATGTGATGATGCTAATGACTAATGAGTGACACAATGCAGTGCCTATAAAATGGCAGTGATCTGATCTCCACATGGAACAAGGTTGGCCATGGACTATCTGCCCCCTCAGTCCGCAGATTTGACCGGCTAATTAAGCTGAGTTAATCACCCAGCATTTTCCTTGCATCGTTTCTCTCCAATCATTGCCACCTTGTTGGCCTCTTCTCTTGGAGTTGGAGACTTATTTGGATGGATCCGTGTTTCACATGCAACTGGTCAAGGACTCAAGGGGCTAGTCCCTCCACGGATTTGACTAGCCATTGGCTAAGTTAAACTGCCCTGGTGTTCCCTTTCCATGGCCAAGTTGCATCCAGACATTGTCTTGTCATTTTTCTCTTGGACCACTGTGAAACATGGCATATGGAACATGGGGCATTGGGTTTAACATAAGGCTGGTCATAGTGGGAATAACTTAGCAAGTAACATAGCGCATTTCAAGACAGGTTTGCTTATGTGGCATGGGGTTAATGAGAAGAGAGATGTTTGGAGTAACATAATATGTTACTGTAACATAACGCAATCCAAAGCAAAATGAGTCTATGATGTAATAAATGTTATCATCTATGATACTACTTGTATGTTACTTTGCACTATGAATGTAGTAACAAAGACTAGTGTCATATGCATGACACTAGTCTAAGTTACTCCCCACTATGACTAGCCTAATATGATACTTAGCATTGTTAGGAGCGGCAGGAGAGCTAGGCACTTATTGTCTGCATTTAAGTCTTTCTAGATGGTCACAGATTAGAATGGGGCTTATATGTCCTCTCTTTTGAATTTCATTTCCTTCTGGAGAACTATGAATTCGTATTGAACTCCTCTATGACACTGATGCTCTACTGACCTATACTAAAAAAACAACAGACGTTGTTAGAACAAGAATAGGTAACACAGGAAGAGCTCATGAAATTATAGTACAAGTACGAACCAATAGATACTATTGTGTAAAAGGGATGTAGCTCAAATGGTAGAGCACTCGCTTTGCATGTGAGAGGCACGGGGTTCGATCCCCCGCATATCCAATCTTTTTGAACATATTTTCTTCTCTTTTTCTCATGATGAAAAAACATCACTATTTTACAGTTTTCTTTTTTCTTTTACTTTGTTGTATAAGGGGGGAAAGAAGGTGCATTTGGTGTATATATTTTGGATAGCCGCCAGGATGATCTTTTTGAACATATTTTCTTCTCTTTTTCTCATGAAAAAACATCACTATTTTACAGTTTCCTTTTTTCTTTTACTTTGTTGTATAAGGGGAAAAAAGAAGGTGCATTTGCGAACCAACCTCTGGTTGAGATGGTTAGGTGGACAGTGGTATCCTCAGCCCACCAGGGTTCAAATTCTGGTGCTCGCATTTATCCTAGATTTATTTCAGGAATTCCGGCGATACGTTTTCAGTGGGAGGAGACGTTCCTGTCGACTACGAGGCGTCTACGGTGACTTCGTAAAATCTCAGCAGTCTCTCGAAGGCGTTCATAGGGGTGAGTGTATGCGTGTTTATATGAGCGTTTGCGTCTGTACTGTGTTCAAAGAAAAAGATGCATTTGGTGTATATATTTTGGATAGCCGCCAGGATGTGGATTCGTACAAATTTCCACATTCCTTCACAACTTGTTTTTTTTTTGTGTCGCGGAAACACACCACTCGAGAGGAGGCAGCCAAGGGCCTATGATCTTGCAGCCATCAACATTGAGGTGCCACTCCTACTATCTTTGACATCAGCTGTTTGTCTGGTACCAACACTAATATATCTGGTTACCTTCTGTCGTGACGTGATGGCTTGAGGTTCGATATAATGCTCGAGTTTATTGTTTTGCAAGGTAACGCGGCATACATTTACTCCCTCCGTCCATAAATTTCTTTTCTAAAAAGGTTGCCAAAGGGAAGTGACCTTTATACTACTTGGTGACAGGGGCATTGGCTCCTGTTTTTTGAAATAATTCAAAATCGTATTTCCAAGTTCAAAGAAATTTTAAAAAAGAACTCCGAAAACTTGTACATATTCACGATGGATATGTGAATTTTCGTTCAAAAATATGATTTGCAAGCTGCACAAAAAAAAGATCTCGGCCCAACAATAAAAAAAATCATTTTCATGTACACATTTATTTATTTTTGTCTACGCCACACATGACAGTATATTGTTATGAAAATTTTCTTCAATGTGTTATATGTGTATTTTTATATGCACAATTTTTTTTGTGTTGTGGATTTTAATTTAACTCCACATAGTGCCCGTCCACCGTTGTGCATTTCCGTTATACTACCTCCATTCCTAGATTTAAACTACCTCCATTCCTAAATTTAAACTGCCCCAATGTCTTATATTTAGGAATGGAGGTAGTAGAAGCACGCAATAGACATGGAAGGAATAAACTTAAAATATGATTATTATTTTTATTTTGTTCTAATCTTCTATTTCATACAAATATTACAAGTTCCCAGAATAAAACACTCCTGCAGATAACTTTTGTAACAAACACTTGCATGTGTATCTTTTGCTGCACAAACACTTACAAAGCGCTTGATGCCAAAACCTATAGGAGCAAGTATCTTTTCAAGGTATCGCATATGAACCGAATAGGTAATGGCCAGTAATCTTTACATGGCGGCCCATCTTGAACAACAATAAAAGAATTAGCAGCATATTTGGCAACCTTCCCCCTTTCGGGTAAAAAGCAAATAATGCTATCTCCTTAACATTCTGAACGATGGCAGATTCTGAACGCTTGAAACGCCTCCAATTGTAAGCTCTTGCTCTAACTGGCCTAGTGTGGACTTCAGAACCTCCTGATAGTAAGATTGAACAATGATGGTAAAGGAACAAGAAACCATTAGCATGTACATAATGCATCATGTATAAAGAACGCTCACGTTGAATTCCATATAACTAGCTCTCCTTGCAAGCCACTGAGCATCGAGCATCTGAAAAGCTAGGCAGAAAAGGTTATCGAAAGCCATCTCGTCATCTTCAAGTAGTTGAGCAAAGCCAACTCTTGCTTTTGAGCTCCTCCTATTTTCTGCAAAGAAGCAAAAAAAAAAATGCTGCAGTTTCTTCACAGGTTGATCTGCTTAAGGAACCAGACTACACATGCAATCAAGGGAGAGTAGATTTAAATTTAGATAAAGCATTTTGACCAGTTATTGCATTCACTTCACCTGATTGTAAATCCAGCATTTGAACTAACATATAAGATATATTTACGCCAGCTACTGCAAAAGGATATTCCCATTCAGCTCTCTCACCATCTGCCTTGTGTAATAGCCGATGAAAGGAATCCTGCATGTTAAGCAGGTATTCAGCATTTAACCAGATTGAAATACCAACTAACAGTGGATTTATAAGGAGAGTAAGTGCCCATGATGAACAGAAACATACTGGGTAATTTCTTGCAAAATATATTAGATTTTCCAAGGACATGAATCCCCCAGACCTGCAAGCATCGGATAGCTCATGAGAACAGTCATCTCAGTTCAAGTGACGTTGAAAGAGAAAAACAGCAGATAGCTTCTTAAAATATGAATAGTTGAAAAAATGAACCTAAAATCTGTTGCTGGGTCAGAGTTCTGCCAGCCCATTTCCTTCCATAGATCTGATTTCAGAGGAGGAAGTTCTCGGTTAGGATAAGCCAATCTCCAAAGTTCTTTTAGTGCATCCTGTAATGGGAGAAGTGGCATGCCGTTCATGAATATAAGCATATTAACATATTAATGATTTAAACTAGCATTGACTTGCTCAAGAGCAGAAAAAACGCCACATAAACTAGATAAAAGATGAGAACCTGGTGCTTGACAGCGGAACAATCAAATGGCACATTTAATCTTTGTCTCAAGAATTTTAATCTCTCCTCCTATAAAGTAAATTAAAACTGTCAAAAACATAATAACATGTCAAAAGAAATTAAACAAATGTAAACACTGATATAACAATAATGTTGGTGGCATTGCTTTCCTGAAGGAGGTAGAAATTAAGCACACAAGTCAATATCCAAATGATAAAGCACACATGCAGAAAATAGCAACAAATGTTCCATCAATATGCCACCATTTTGTTCATGAACGTAAATGCGGAATTAAGTAAGAATATTTTCTGTTGTTCACACCCGAAAAGATATTTAGACGAGGGGCAAATTAAACGTTGTGGGGTTCATGAAACAACCAAGTCCTCCAAGAACTTAAGATGTTATAGGCAGGATGGGAAATTGTACCCCAGTTTTCAGCCAAAGGTATCAAATATCTCTAGGAATGTGCATCAAATTACAGGTGGCGCTTAAAACACTCCTACTTCATAAATTTGCACTTACAATAAAACCTTTCTGTGTTCCATATACAGCATTTCAAACAAAGAACACAAAATCTGCAGGTGCCACAGTACCTGTAATGGACTGAGGTGAATTAGCATTGTCTGTGCATTTTGTGAACTTTGGGGAGCACAGGAGCAACCAAAGAACCTTGCTAGAAACGAACCAAACTCCGAAATAGCATTTACTGCAAAGAAAAGCAAATCTTCAGAGCACGAAAAGCCTACAAGGAGGTAACGACAATAGCAAGCACAACATATTATTCAGACAGGTATATCGGCGTAATTTATGCATAAATGAGATGTCAAAAGAAAAGTACGCACAAATGATTTCAGCTTAATTAAAATCCTCACTAGCTTATCAGAACCTACACAGCCAATGTTGCAAAAGGGAAGATCATGAAACAAGCATATGTTTTGAAGAATAGGGTACATTAGATTCAAGTGATAGTGAGATGATTGTTTATTCTCAGGTAATAAGTACAACATATAGCCTTTCTGGATCAAAGCTAGTGACAATTACCTATCTTTCTTGCAGACTGAGTAATAAAAGTAGATACAATATGCACCCAATGAAGGCACTCGCGTGATTTTCCATCCCAGAAATCTGGTATAGGCTCATAACCCTTCAAGAAACGCAGAATCAAGGACATTAGAAAAACGCAGAAAACAAAAACGCTGTCAATAACCTCAATTCAAGCGATTCAGGGGACGCTACTAACCTCCGATTTATTCCCCTGGGCACTATTTCCTAGAAGAGGGGCTGTGACAGATTCCGGCATTGTTGTTTCCATATGTCTCTCTCTTTCTTTCTCGGCAGGCCTCCTCCTTATAGCTTTCGAGGCCATTCTACTACTCAGATGATTGCGAAAGGCATGGTACCTGCTAGACAACAAGTATAGAACAGTGTGATTCATTCCACTCCATCCAGCAGGAGATAAACAAAACCTAGAACTCAATTACATCAAGCAATAATATCCAGTGACAACAGCTTTAGAGTTTAGACCTCTCATTTGGTCCAACACGCACGACCTAATGAACAAACTCTACGGAGCTAGCCAAGATCAGCTCCTGGTTGTCGCCGAGGAGACGACTAATGGGACAAACCCTACAAGGTTACGAGTTCCGCATCTACTTGGGGGGTGAGCGGTCGCAGATAAGATGGAAGAGGACGAACTGCAGCTAGAGGGAGGGAGACGCTGCATCGCAGCGCGTGGGTTGGGGGACCTGCTTACCCCGCGAGCGAAGAGTGTTGTCTGGCAGGGGCGATCGAGATCTGCCTCTGATTTTTCCTTGTGCGGAGTGGGATGGAGTGACGACGGCGCCGGGGTCGGAGGAGGGGAGTCGTCCTGGCTGCCCTGCGCGCCGGCGATCTGGACAGGATAGGACTCTGATTTTCTTCTTTGCGTTAGGGGTGTTTCTGACAAAATGTCATTTGACCTTGGAACAAAAATACTCCCCCGTCTTCAGTGCATAAAAGGCCACATGGTCACCTGTTCGCGCCACAACGCCGGTCATCTCCCCCTTCAGGCTTCAGCGACCAAAGCCGTCCACCGACTTTCTTGGGCGCAAATAGGGGCGTTTTGCGAGCGTCCTGATCACTGCCATGTAGGTGTTGTGACACATTGGACTTACCTAAAAACCTTTTTCATGCTCTTTCACACATGGTGTGGTTGTTGTGCATAAATGATCGTGACCAGGTGAAAAGATGGTTAGCCCGCTTCAATGTGACGCAACGGCTGGAGTTGGTTTCTCGAGACGACGTGTTCACATTGAAGTGGCATCGCCCATTTTGTCATGTGGTCAGCGTTGTCCTCTCGTCTGATTACATCGCACGGCATCAATCTCAGTCGCTGCGGCTCTGGGCTAGCCTGAATGCGACATGTGAAGCGGTGCATCCGTTTGAGATAATGCACGGGAGAGTCTTAGATGGGTTTGGGATGTCAGATACGTGCGTGACAACTATCTAACTCCCGCAAAGTCTCCTTGATTTGCTTTCGGTTTGCGGGAAAAATGATGTTCAGACTTATGCATGGACGGATGAGATACCGCATTAGATGATAAAATGCATTTAAGATGCCCTATCCGAACAAATGCAGATGATATAAGGATCAGCATTGAAGATGCCCTTACACAGTTCTGTATATATCTTCCATTCACTGTCTATATGAATGTGGACACATAAATATGACACTATTACATGTAGCGATCATTCATTGTTTTCCGAAGAAGATTGGATATGTTATAGAAGTTCATCATAAAAAGCACATCATACATAATAAAGTTTACATTGAGGTCTTTAGAGCACCAAACTACTACTATCATCGTCGGAACGAGCCGCCGACACGTTGGTGTCGTCGTTCCCCTATCAGAGACGTCGTGACCTTGTCGATGATAACCAAGAAGTCTTCATGTACGTGCTCCTAAAGACCATCGTCCCGGAGTCGTATTTGTCGCTGTCAAACCTTTGAATTGATCTTAAGCAACTAATACCAAATCTCGTTGTCGCAGACGTACGATGAGAAATCCTAACCTTACTGCCCCAAAGAGACAGCAAGAATCTATGCCAGAGTTCCGTCGAGTACGTCCAGCTGGACGAACTTGACAAGGATCAAAGCCCAGATGACAAAAATCAAAGAAGAAGCTCCACTATCCACCCAACTGGCGCACCTGCGAGGACTAAAAAAACTAAGCAAAACTACTAGCCGGAGCGAAGGCACCGGAATCCCTGTCCCCGCCACTGGCAGTCAGAGCGACATGCAGAGGGGTGTCGAATCCATGGGGTAGTTGGCGAAGCCTGGTTGAAGAGTTTGCCCTAGCCACCAAAAAAAGAGAGAAAATTTGGAGAAAAAGTTGACTAAGTTTTCAGCGTACACCTATAATGAATAAATCAACAAAAACTGAAAAAAGCAAAAGGAAATCTTAAGTCAAAATTTCTAAATTTTGACCAGGTTTATAAAAAAAGAGTTTTGATGTCCACAATACAAAATTCTGTGCGACTTAAATTCAGACCAGAGTCAGTTGTGACAATAGTGTGCAAATTACATACCCTTTTGTATTGCTTTTTTGCGGTGAGTCTTCACCTTGTTCTTACAATACTAGAACGGTACATATGCGTTGCAACATGATGTAAATATTCTAATATGTTAATTTATAATTACGTGTCCATGTTACACATTTGCGTAAATAAATGTGTATCAAATCTTGCCCACCTGATGCAGTTTGTTAAATAAATTAAGGTTATTGATTAGCATACGAGGAATGTGTCGAGAAAGTGCGGGATAGGGCAAACAAAATAGCTGAATGAAAAAATAATGGAGAAATGTGATGGGAGGAAAAATAACTGATTGACGAAGCGTTATGCCGACAGAAAAAGAAACACTACTTTTTAAGTAGTAGAAGATTTCTTAGTTAAGCTGATTTATGCACCTAAGGGCATCTTCAACATGCTGTAAGTCTTATTGGTAAAATGTTACCAATATGAAATGAGGAAAAAATGTGATTACTTTTTATTTTACTTTGAAGCTTGTACTGTTGGTTAATCTACATACAATTTCGATCTCTCTACTCATTTATTACATGCTACGTCATTACTTTGTCATAGGTGGTAAGTTTACCAACATCTATGTTACAACTGCGAACCAATTTGTGATTGGATGGGTTATGAGGGCAGTGGTATCCTCATCTCACCAGAATTCAAATCCAAGACTTGACACTAGTACTCGTATTTTTCTGGATTTATTTCAATCCTTCGGCGATGTGCGTTCGGTGAAAGGAGTAAGCCTGGGAATAGTTTGTAATCCAGATTGAATCCAGCCCAACCCATACAGGTATAAGGGCATCAACCAAACCAAACCAGACTAAATAGTGAATGCTACAATCCAAACCAATCCAAACTGTACGTATTTTCAAGCCAAACCAATCCAAATTATTCACCCGCATACAGTCTGAAACTGAAGTTTCAAACCAAGGGTGTGTCCGATTACTACGGGAAGAGAAGAGAGGCGTTGGAAGCACATGTTACTCACCACAATGTACGTGCATCGTACATAGAACATCCTATAATGCTAGATATAAGCACTGTAGTTGACTATAGCTGAACTCCATCCATCACGGGTTAAGGAGATCCTGTTTGCACTGTCCGACCTCGTCGGTCAACTCGCCGACGCCGTTGAGCGGGAAGAAGTAGCGGTACACCTCATATAGCGCCATGCAACTGTTGTATATCATGCGGTCTGACAATAGTTGGGCAGCTCGGCCACCGTGTGCGCCACACACAGCCCGCAGTCCGCCGCCTTGATGTCCCTGGCGCAATACCCAAGCCTGTAGATGGTCGTCATGGTTCCGCCGCCGCCGCATCTGAGATGCACCGTGTCCGTTGCCAGCTCATTATTCGCGTCGTTGCCGGACATGAACTTCCCCTGCGCTCGGTCGAAAGTGACCAGGTCCATGCCGGTGGTGTTCTGGGTGTTGAGGAGAAGGCTTAGCTTGTGGCCCGTGCCCGCACAGCCGCGGCCACGCAGAGCGCTCAGTCCTGCCGGGGGACATTGCCGCAGCACTACACAAGGTTCCAGATTGCCGAGGAGGAGGAGCAGACGATGGCCGTGTCGTAGTAAGCCGAGGCTCGCGAGACGAGCGCCCAAAGAACTTGGTCGACGCTGGTCTGTGTCTCCGTGCTAGTGCAGTACACGCCGATCAGGTACATGCCAGAGCACGGACATGTCATCGAGAGAGCAGGAGCATGGTCGACACCGGCAGTGGAGAAGACGAGGAGGACGTTGCCAATGCATGCTTTTTTGATCCGGAAGGGAATCTGGTCGCTGATTTAGTTCTCAATCCATGGGTTGGAACGGTTTGAGACCGTTTGGTCTATGACCAGACCAAACCAGACCAAGCCGACAATAGGAAAAACCCAAACCAAACCAGTCTACATTAGGAGGTCAGCCCATTTAATCCAAACCAAAGGAGACCAACTCGAAAACCGATCTGAAACTATAGTTTCAGTCCAAACCATTCCCAGGTTTAGAGGAGACGTTCCGATCAACTACGAAGACACCTGCCGACTCAGTCTCTCGAAGGTGCTCATAGCGATAGGTTGTGTATGCGTGTATGTATGTATGTATGTATGTATGTATGTAGACACGATGAACCCGCGACTTGTGCAACGACCATGCGTTACTTGATGCAATGTTTGTTCAGCTTTGATGATTAGATTTGCAGAAAGCACCTAAAATGCATAAAATCAATAGAAAATGAGAAAAGCATAAAGAAAAACTACCCTTTCCCCTTCTCATAAAACAGACCCTTAAGTTTTTCACAGGTCAAAATTCCTCAAGTTTAATCAAGTTCCTACAAAAGGTTCACAATAGCATATCAACATCAATCAATCCCTCAACTATTCCATTATTGATTTCACATCAAGCAATTCACAAAGTATCCAATATATGAGTTAGATTTTCAGAAAACACCTAAAATGCATAAATCAATAGAAAATGAGAAAAGCATAAAGAAAAACTACCCTTTCCCCTTCCCATAAAACAGACCCTCAAGTTTTTCACAGGTCAAAATTCCTCAAGTTTAACCAAGTTCCTACAAAAGGATCACAATAGCATATCAACATCAATCATGTTGGGAACGTACTATTTCAAAAAAATTGTCTACGATCACGCAAGATCTATCTAGGAGAAGCATAGCAATGAGCGGGGAGAGTGTATCTACGTACCCTCGTAGACCGAAAGCGGAAGCGTTTACTAACGCGGTTGATGTAGTCGAACGTCTTCACGATCCAACCGATCCAAGTACCGAACATACGGCACCTCCGCGATCTGCACACGTTCAGCTCGGTGACGTCCCTCGAACTCTTGCTCCAGTTGAGGCCGAGGGAGAGTTCCGTCAGCACGACGGCGTGGTGGTGGTGATGATGAAGTTACTGTTGGGGAACGTAGTAATTTCAAAAAAATCCTACGCACACGCAAGATCATGGTGATGCATAGCAACGAGAGGGGAGAGTGTTGTCCACGTACCCTCGTAGACCGAAAGCGGAAGCGTTAGCACAACACGGTTGATGTAGTCGTACGTCTTCATGATCCGACCGATCAAGTACAGAACGCACGGCACCACCGAGTTCAGCACACGTTCAGTCCGATGACGTCCCTCGAACTCCGATCCAGCCAAGTGTTGAGGGAGAGTTTCGTCAGCACGATGGCGTGGTGACGATGTTGATGTTCTACCAACGCAAGGCTTCACCTAAGCACCGCTACAGTATTATCGAGGTGGACTATAGTGGAGGGGGGCACCGCACACGGCTAAAAGATCAAACAGATCAATTGTTGTGTCTTTGGGGTGCCCCCTGCCCCCGTATATAAAGGAGCAAGGGGGGTGCGGCCGGCCAAGGGAGAGGGCGCGCCAGGAGGAGTCCTACTCCTACCGGGAGTAGGACCCCCCCTTTTCCTTGTTGGACTAGGAGAGAGAGGGGAAAGAGGTGGAGGAGAAGAAGGAAGGGGGGTGTCGTGGTTCTAAGACTGACAGTAGAATAGGGGGGTAGGAATGTAGAGGCAAGATCCTAGCTATGGAGGAGTTTTACACACGAGTTTTACGAGTTCAGGCCCTTCTCAGAGGAAGTAACAGCCCTACGTCTCAGAGCCCGGAGGCGGTCGACTGGATATATGTGTGTGAATTACAGAAAGTGCGAACCCTTGTCCCAGAGCAGGGGGGTGGCTTATATAGAGTGCGTCAGGACCCCAGCTCCCCTCCATTACACAGGGTTCAATGTTCATAAAGGAGGAGCGTTACTGGTAACGTTCGAAGTAAAGTGCTATAAATGTCCATAAAGCTATGGTTTAAACCCCGACCGTTGCGGAGTGAAGGGCTTCTCATCTTCTGGTGGTCGAGTGTCTTCAAGGTGGTCGAGTGAACACATCTTCTGGTGGTTGAGTGGATGATGGTTTCTCTTCGACCGCTTCTGATTCTTTGTAGAGATGTCCTTGGGGAGGGTATGTTGGACAGATCCATGACCCTACCCTAGGTACATAGCTTCATCATTAGCCCCCGAGTGGATCAGGGTTTGAGTGAGGAAGGAGTTGGGAACACTTCCGACTCATTCTTTGTGCTATGAGCATATCTTGTTCTGGAACAATGAACTGAGGAGACGACGTCGGCTCCTTTTTCAGTCGCCTTAGTCCATTCTTAGTTTTTGTCGAGTGAATTTTCACGATAGAATTCCGAATGATAATGTAGAAGACGTTTTCAGTCTGGCAAGTTGCTCTGCTCTCCGCGGATTTTGTGGGATTCGAATTTTGGGAAGCGCGCCGGACGAGCGAGACCGTGGTAATCGGGACGGATTAGGCAAGTCTCCTCGATCTCCGTGCCACCTTTTTCGCCATGTACTACGCGCGCGACTGTTGCGGGATTTGTTTAGATTGTCTGGGTCCACCAGTCAGTCACTCAGGGAATGACCTTATAAAAGGCACCGGACCAGGCCTCTGCCTCGTGCGCTCCCATTCTCTTTTCTTCTTCCTCCGACCTCTCCGCCATGCTCGCCTCTGCTCTCATCGCCGGACCCTCGCTCGAACTCGATCTGTCGCCATGGGGAAAGATAAGACGGTGGCACTAGAGCGCGCGAAGAAGGCGACCGCGAAGGCGAAGGGCAAGCGGACCAGCCGGGGCGGATCCTCGTCGAGATCCGGCCTATCGCCGGGCTGGATCCAGGGCGACTGGATCCGCTCGACGATCAGCCAGGACGACCTCGACGACCTGGTGGAGGGGGGACTGATCCCCCATAAGTCGGCACGGCTCCCGGGGAACGAGACCGAGCCACAGCCAAGGGAGGGTGAGTGCGTTCTCCTCGCCACCCACGTAGATCGCGGATTCTCATTGCCTTCCCATCCTTTCTTCTGGGGCTTTTTGAACTTCTTTGGGGCTCAGCTCCACCATTTCACTCCAAACACCATAGTCTATCTGGCTGCTTTCGTTTCAATGTGTGAAAATTTCTTGGGTTGTCGACCGCACTGGGGTCTTTTCAAACACATCTTCACCTGCCGCTCCCAGTCGGTCAAAAAAGCCAATCCAAGTGATGAGAGGACGCAAGTGATCCAGATGTGGGGGGGCCTGGGGATCCAGGTGAGGAGCAAGAGCACCTTCCCAGCAATGATCCTTCCTGATTCGGTCCGGGGCTGGCAGTCGACTTGGTTTTATTGCAAGGACCAGCCGACCCCGGGTCAGTCGACTAGACTTCCTCCCTTTTCTTTGGCTCAAGTGGAGAAGCCCGCCCCCCTGAAGGTGGTTCCAGAAGAGAAGGCGCAGGTCAAGGTGCTGGTCGAGCGGGTCGTCCAACTCGTCCGCGACGGGGTGACCGGGATGGACCTGCTGGAGGTCTTTCTCGGTCGACGCATCCAACCGCTTCAGGCACGTGATCATCCGATGTGGATGTACTCTGGGCTCGAGGATTCCACTCGGATCCACCCGGAGGACGTCAGCGAGGACACCTTGGAGAAGTGGCTGATGGGGATCACCAGCAACAAAGACAACCCTCGAGGGTCTAGGAGGGTGATTCCATTCGACACTCACGTCAGTCAGAGCAGGTATGATTCTATTTTATCAAGTATCTTTCTGATTCACTGTGTGACATCTTGTTGATGGTCGACTGAATTTCTTTTGATCGTTGTCTTTTCAGGCCCTCATCGACATGTACTCAATGCCCAACGGAGTGCAGGAGCAAGACGTCGAGGAAGGAGTGAGCGGGGGCGAGAGCGGTGAAGGGTACTCAGGTGCCGAGGAGGACGAGGAGAGCGACGAATCGACTGATGACGAAGAGGTCGACTCGCCTCCCCGCAGGGAGAGGAGATCCAACCATGCTCATGACCCGGCGAGCGCTCAGGGCCTGGTGGCCGCGCCGATTGGGCAGTCTTCGAAGCGTCCCAGAACGTCTTCCCCGACGCCGATTGAGAAGGCTCCGAAGCAGCCCAAAGTTGTGCCGCCTCCAGCGCCGAAAGCACCGAAAGCCACCTCCTCCAAACTGCCAAAGGCTTTGCCCAGGATCAAAGTGACCGTCCCTACTATCTCCGGGTAATCATCTGACTTGTTCTTTTCGTCGACTCAAGTAACAGAATGTAACCGACTGGATGCGGGTCTTTGTAGTGCTGCTACGTCAGGAACCTCTTCTCTCTAGTACTGAGACGAGGAGATGGAAGACGCAGTTACCTCTAACCCAGGTAGAAACTCTTATGATCTTGTTCTTGATTCCTTGGTCGATTGCATTCTAGTGGTTCACTTGGGGTCGAATGATCTGTCTTGCAGCTCCACCCAACATCATCGATCTTCCAGATGACGATGAAGATGTGGCTCTTAAGCCCAGGAAGAGCAAGAAGGTAGCAGCTGGCAAGATGTCTCGGCAAGGGCCAACAACAACACCACCCGTCCGTCAACCTGAAGACGCGGGCAGGGCCTCTATAAC